GACTCAAAACCCAAAGCCAACTGTCAGGGTTCAGTTGAAGTCTATTGTGCCCCCATCCAGATCCTCCCAGCCTCCAGGCATCGGGATAAGGTATTCACAGCATCACTTAATTCGCCAGGGGCAGAGATGTATAGTGGCGATGGATGAGCTCACCCAGCGGTCTCATGTGGATATTAAATAGGAGAGGAGAGAGCACCAAACCCTGTGTAACCCCACGTAGTAGGGGCTGAGGGTGGGACCTCCCCTTCCCAATCACAATGTATAGATGGAAGTATGTTCTGATTGAATTAATATCAATAGAAGAGAATATATATAGCTCAGGGTTGAACTGTGGAGTCCTTAGTGCTCTCTGAACTTGGTTGTTTGCTTGCAGACATTTTATTACCCAACTAGGTAACATCATCAGTGCTAGTGAGTGTGGGATTTGCTCCCTGTTTATAAACCAAAAGACCCAGTAGCCCAAAAAGAAAAATCAAGAGTCATCTACAACGTACAGTGTAAGGACTGTAATAGCCACTATATAGAACAAACAGGCAGAAAATTAGAGCGCATCCATGAACACCTAGCAGTCAGAAGACACAATGAAAACTCCTTAATCTCACAACACATGGACAGACTCAACCATAGTTTCAGCTGGGAAACTGTGAGCATCCTAGACCAAGCTAAATCCAAAAATGACAGGGAATGAAACTGTGAGCATCCTAGACCAAGCTAAATCCAAAAATGACAGGGAATGAAACTGTGAGCATCCTAGACCAAGCTAAATCCAAAAATGACAGGGAATGAAACTGTGAGCATCCTAGACCAAGCTAAATCCAAAAATGACAGGGAATTCCTGGAAGGCATTCAGACAAACCAGCCATCAATAGACACATAGAAATAAACCATATTTATACATCATTCAAAAGAGATTAAAAAGATAATATTCAAATAATTAAAAAGCTAAGAAGAAAACAAAAGACCAGAACACATCCTCTTTAGCAGCCAACACCCAGATAAGCAGGGATCAACACCAGGCAAACAAGCAGAAAACAATACCCCAAGCAAGGAACTACCAAGGAGAAAATCACACCCCCACCAAACACTGGCAGGGCAAGCAACTGTATATAGACAGGGAACAAACCCCACACTCACTCGCACTGATGATGTTACCTACTTGAATTAATATCAGTTGAGAATCTAAGTTTGTTTCTAAATGTATTGTTAATAGCAGTCACTTAAGTACAAAGCTGAGCAAGCCCTACCCCAGGGTTGAAAACTTTGGGCCTCCCAGACATTGTTAGGCTATCATTCAGATCATCCCTCAGCACTGGGAGTTTTATTCCAGTAACATCTGGAGGGCCCCAAGTCACCTATCCATGCCTTAAAAGAATCAGGTAACCAACAAGATAGAGTTTTTAGAAGATTCTTAGAAAGCAGCCATGGCTCCTTGTGCCCTTTCCTTGAGACTCTGTGGGGTGTATTTCCATTGCAACATCATCACAGATGCACAGCACACCACCTTCTCCATTTTACTTTTGTTTTACAAAAGGTGCTTCAAAATATGGCGGTTCCTCCCCAACACTCTTGCTATTCTTTCAATCTTGTTGCCTTCCCCCACCCTCCTGGAGAATGTACCTCTTAAAAACCTGGGTCCTACTCCCTGTATCCTTTCACAAACTGTTGTCTTTCCTCTTAGTTATGCTGCTTCATCTGCCATGTACTTGGAGGAAAGGTGATAGTTTTGCTTTGAGCATTGGGAAGAATAGTAGAGGCATCCTAACACAATAGGGTGATGCTGCATCTTACAGTCTAACCAGTTGTTCAAAGTTTCAGCTCTTTTTGCATAATGGAGTACCCTCCTTATTTGGCAGAGTTCCTGTGAAAGCTGATATATATACACATACACACTCACATACATACATACATATATACACACACACACACACACATGTACGCGCGCGCGCACACATATCAGTAGAGGAGATGGCAAGAGTAAACTGGGACAGACAAATTATTTTTCTGTTCTTCCCTTTGTAGTATAGTCTTTTGCAACAGCATGTGAAGAAATATGTGTGAATGAGAGAGAAAAGAAAAACATGTTATATTACTATGTGTATGTGTGTTCCAAAGTGATACTCAGGAGCCCTATTTCTAAGTTGGCAGTGTCCGATGGAAGTGAACTGTAATTTTATGGTCTTAATGGCAGCAAATCTCACTGGGATTGCAATGAAATCAATAGATTTTGCTAACAGATCCAGGTTATGTAATAAAAGTGAGATAGTAATATCTTACTAAATAGTAAGAAGTTACTAAAGATTAATCAGTGCAAATTAATTATACATAAGCACATTGCATGGGCCAACTTTAATGATATTACTGGGTTTTTCTGTGTACAAAGATTATACATTTAGCCATTCTGTCATTCAACATGTAAACCATTTTATAGCCAAAGCTCTCAGAATGATGAACATCATTTTGAGAATATACTTGTAGAAGTAATATGTAGCTTAGAAGAGTGTGTACTGGTTAATTTGAAAATGATGGCAGTTCGATTGCTGTGTGTTTGCTGTGATCCAGCCCTTTCTTGAACTGCCAGGATAAATAGGAATTCAGCAGTGGCCTAGAGCCAGATGAATTACAGACTCTTAGCAGGCCATCAACTCACTAGTCTGTAGTACTTTTATCAGTTCAAATAGTTTCTGTGCTACACAATCCTTGTAGTCACATGCAAGTGTGAAAATGAGGCAATATGCCATGTGTAAGCTCACTTTCATACTTAGAGTTAAGACTGGAAAAAATTGTTTTCCTAGACAACTGATACATTTTTATTTAATAAAGAAGAGATTCTGATACAGAACTTGCGGAACGAAGTTCTGGGTGAGAATGGAATGGGAAGCATATTCTCAGACTTGGACCCATTTAGAGAGAGAATTCTATTCTACCCACAATTGCAGGGATAAATGTTGACAAAGATTTGGATGTGTATATTTTTAAATCTTTCTAGCCCAGAGTTCTTAATCCTTGGTAGATACTGAAATTATTCCAGACATCCTAACTTTGTGGGAGTATTGGGAATCATAGTCAAATATAACTATTAGGGAAGTCTACTGTATTGAAATTAATCTGCTTGTTGATGTGTATCAGACTGGTATGATGCATTTTTCACCACTCCCACCCCCAGATTATTTTAACCCCATTTATAGTGCCATTGTTGAACTTTGGGTATGAATGAGAACTGCACCAGTCAAGCCTTCTTCTCCTGCAACTTTAGTAGCAGGTGAAACATGCATAAGGGAAGTTCCAAAAACAGCAGTTGGCCTCTCTTAACATTTGGAATAACAGAGGTACAGTTTGGTACAGAAGAAAAGTCCTGGTATGATAAACCAGGAGATTATAGCTACTTGATAAACTCAGCTGTGTATAATTAACCTAATATACCTGTATTAGTCATCAGCCATAGCTCATGGGGATGGTGGTATATTCATCGTGTAATATGTGATTCTATGTTTTGTATGGCAGTCTGATCACATTGGCCGCTAGTTCCCGTTTTGCCCTTATGAAATGATGTCAGCATAACGCTGCCTTTGAATTTCTAAGATTTCAGATATTGAGCTGCTTTTGGAAAGTCGTAGAAGAAATAGGGGGCTATTTGGAAAATTTACAAACTATTATATTCACTGGATGCTCTTAGTTTTTCACATGCTCCTTTCATAGGTCTTCTTGCCTGTGTGGTTTTGCTATGTGTATATATTGTTGTGCAGGTGGTTTAGGAAGGATCCATACATAATATAGGATTTAGGGTAATTTTGAGTTTGAGTTTTTTCTCCATATTCTTTGATTCAAAAGCATGTGTTATTGCAGCTCAAAAATGTGTTCTGTGATATCAATGAAAGGGTACTACCTTGATTTTTTTATATGGGAAAAGATATTCTGGCCATCTAGTTTTTATAGATTAGAATTTCAGTCCATCTTCAGAACTATTCTGCAAATCCCAGAATTCCCAGTCAGCTTGATAAAATAAAGTTGCAATTCCAGATTATCTGGGAGAGCTAAATTGAGGAAGATCAGATTAGTAGTTCAGAAATGGCAAGATATATTGAGTTGTGAAAAACTGACATCCGTGATATAAAGAAGTACACATAAAAAAAAAAGGAAGCTTAAGAAATTAAATGCTGTTATTTCTGATGTAAACTAACCTGATTTGAAACTCCTGGACTAAAATGTGTACAGTAATTATCTTTCTAATTTCTTGTTTCTGTGAATGTTGTGATGCAGTTATCTTAAAAACAGGCACCAAAATATACTGAAATGCAATTTTTTTTGGCTGAAAGATGATTATAGATATGCATTTTGTGAGCAGGTATTTTAAACAATCTATATTTAAATATTTCTATATACATTTTCATATGGATTGTTTAATGGACAAATGGACATATGAATTACCACATTGAACAATGACTCGGAAGGAAAATTGATTGAGTTCGCTGTCTATAGTTAAAACTATATTTTTATTTATTTGTTCTGTAGAATTTATAATGGGAGTTAATTTGGATTCTTTTTGCTGAAGAGCTAAATGTTAATGTTAAATGTCTCAAATTAATTACTAACAATGTGATTGTGGGATACCAAGCCAGTGGCATAAGATATTTGAAGTATAATGGATTGGATCTAGATTTATCCTTTCATGGAAGAGACTGAGATCTATTTGAAGTTCCTATGAAAAGAATAGGGTAATGTAGACAGTTCCTCCAAAACCTTTAGGAATGTATCCATTACTGTTTTGGTGTGTTCTCTGATCCTAGAGAAGCTTTTGGGCAATCACAGAGAGTTGTCTTCCTCTAGCAGAAGAATTGCACTGGTGATCTGGATCATTAGTGGTCTCAATGTATAGTTTAGGAAAGGGAAGGACATGTAAGTCATATAGGTCCTGAATTAATTTTCTTTTCTTTTTTCATAGAATTTGGGAACCATGTCAGCCTGCAGTTTTTTTAACTAGAAAATCATGCTTTGTATTTTAGGTTGGTGGAAATAAGCACACCATGAATGAGCATCTACATGTTACCAGCCATGGGCAGATCCAAGTTCAGCAGCTCTTTGAAGATAATAGTAACAAAAGGACGGTTCTGTCCACACAACCAAATGGGCTTGCAACAGTAGCAAAATCAGGACTGCCAGTGGTACAAGATAGACAGCTTGATAGCTGTCACAGGCGACAGGGGAGCTCCACCTCCTTGAAATCTACTGAAGGGTCAGGAAAGATAAAAGCTACTCCCATGACTCCTGAGCAAGCAATGAAGCAATACATGCAAAAGCTAACCGCCTTTGAGCATCATGAGATCTTCAGTTATCCTGAAATATATTTCTTGGGTCCAAATGCAAAGAAGAAGCAAGGTGTCATTAGTGGTCCAAACAATTGTGGATATGATGATGACCAGGGATCTTATGTGCACATACCCCATGATCATATATCATATAGATACGAGGTTCTTAAGGTTATAGGAAAAGGAAGTTTTGGACAAGTGGTAAAAGCATATGATCACAAGACGCATCAACATGTTGCTCTGAAGATGGTGAGAAATGAGAAGCGTTTTCACCGCCAAGCTGCAGAAGAGATTAAAATTCTGGAACACCTTAAAAAACAGGATAAAGATAATAACATGAATGTTATACACATGCTGGAGAACTTCACATTCCGCAACCATATATGTATGACATTTGAGTTGCTGAGCATGAACCTTTATGAGCTCATCAAGAAAAATAAATTTCAGGGCTTTAGCCTGCCTTTGGTTCGTAAATTTGCCCACTCCATTTTGCAGTGCTTGGATGCTTTGCACAAAAACAGAATAATTCACTGTGACCTTAAACCAGAAAACATTCTGTTAAAACAACAGGGTAGGAGTGGCATTAAAGTGATTGATTTTGGCTCTAGCTGTTACGAGCACCAGCGCGTCTACACGTACATCCAGTCGCGTTTTTACCGTGCTCCTGAAGTCATCCTTGGTGCTCGATATGGGATGCCAATAGACATGTGGAGCCTGGGCTGCATTCTCGCTGAGCTCTTAACAGGATATCCTCTCTTACCAGGAGAAGATGAAGGGGATCAACTGGCTTGTATGATAGAACTCTTGGGCATGCCTTCCCAGAAACTACTGGATTCATCAAAAAGAACAAAAAATTTTGTGAGCTCTAAGGGTTACCCCCGATATTGCTCCCTTACTACCTTGTCAGATGGTTCTGTTGTGCTTAATGGTGGCCGATCCAGGCGGGGCAAATTGCGCGGTCCCCCAGAGAGCAGAGAATGGGGGAGTGCATTGAAAGGATGTGATGATCCGCTCTTCCTTGACTTCTTGAAACAGTGTTTAGAGTGGGATCCAATGCTGCGCATGACACCCAGTCAGGCTTTACGGCACCCCTGGCTCAGGAGACGTTTGCCAAAGCCTCCAACTGGGGAGAAGACATCCGCAAAAAGAATAACAGAAAGCACTGGTGCTATCACATCCATTTCCAAGTTACCTCCAACTTCAAACTCAGCTTCAAAACTGAGGACTAATCTGGCACAGATGACAGACGCCAATGGGAATATTCAGCAAAGAACAGTGTTGCCAAAACTTGTTAGCTGAGGTTTAAATAATCCAATGCTGTTTAAAAGAGAGAGAGAAAGGGAGAGCAATTATGTCACTGAGCCTTATTCACATGAAAAAGAAGCTCAGATTTTTATTTTTATTTGATCAGTAACTTTAAACATTTGTATTTTTTCATTGATTACTTTAAATGTGTTAAGCACGGTTTTGATTTTATAAAAACAACATGGGGACAATGCTTTAAGTTTTTACACTTTTTTAAATGAAATGTTTCTCTTGTAAACAACAATTAGCCTTATAGAATTAGTATGGCACAATGATGTGTCAGTGGCAGGCCACTGGTTACTATCCAAGGATAACATTTTTAGCTAGGTGTGGAAAGAAAGAGTGAATGCCTTTTCCCCATCATGACTTTTCTTTGGAGTGAATTTTACTACTTTTTATCATTGCTTTTGTTATAGCAGTAGGTTCCATTCCTGTAAGCATTTATCCATATTTTCAGCGATGATCTAGAAAATATTCAGGGTTATAAGTGAGGTTTTGCATGGCTGTTTGTAATTCTGTCCGTAGTATGGATAACGCCACATAATAATTGTTAAAATACAGCATCCATAAAGGGCTTAATTTGTGCTCCCACAACCCCTTTGGCAGTTCTCTATCAAATATCCAGGACGAAAAATATTGGAATTTGAAGGAAATTTTCTAAAGGTGCAATATTTATATTACAAAAAAAAAAAAAAATCAAAGCTGAGCTCATTCTGCTGTTTGGCCAATGTAAGATTAACCATGAACCAAATAGCATGAAAATTGTGCTATTTGGCATATTTATGAACCTCAGAGAACAGTCCTGTATCTGTTTACTTGGAAGCAGTTTCCACTCCTTTAATGGAAATAGAGGTCAAGAGCTTAAATACCTTAGACTGCAACTCAACTCAAGAAATAAGTCCCCTGAATTAAGTTAGGCTTATTCCTGAATAGACAAGCATAGAGACTGTGGCAGAGCGTTTGAGTCCCCGTTGGCAGCACAGATGGAAGAGAGCAGTCACGTGGGAGGGGACAGATCAGAAGGATAGAAGGATACTTCTTGCATCTCTCTGCCTCCAAGAAGGCTTATTGGGAAGAGGCAATAAGATCCTCTGAAGAAGATGGGAACATGCTCTAAGTATACTTTTCCTGTGCCGGTAGGAACATTTGGATTTTTCAGAACAAATTGTGTGGTTCTCACAACATAGCAGCCAATGTGACTCTGGGTAGCCACAAAACATCAGTGTATATGAAAAGTCAAACATAGGGGGATATGTTTATCTATCTCCCATCCCTGCAAGATGCTTCCTATCACTTCTGTTAACCTTCTTCCCTCCCCTATGTGGATGACCCCAATTCCAAGCTAAGCACTGTATTTCAATTCCCCATTCATTTTTGTTTTATAAAAAAAGTTTATGGGGCTATAAAACTGAGAGACATTCTTGTAAATAAAGATAATTCTAGAGACCACCACTTTGCAGCATGCTAGTTTTAGGTGAGACACAGAACTGCTGGGCACCAAGGAAGGAATGTGTGGGTGAATTGATGCCTGTGGGCACCCTACAGCTTGCCCCTGCTCTAGCTGCAGAATTGTATCTTGAGTTGGGATCACATATATGTCTGCAGCAGCCTTGCAATTCTCAAGCTGTGCCCTTCAGATGTGTTGGTGGTCATGCTGGCTGAGACTTCTAGGAGCTGCAGGCCAGTACATCCTGAGAGCTCAGGCTGGGGATAACTGGTCTATCATTTATCCAAAATTACTATCAATTCACTTACATGAACACATTCATATTACATGAATGCATAAAGCCTTGTCTTAATTTTACTCATTTCAACACTGAAAATATTTCATAGGAATGACTGGAGTTCCCAAATTTCCCATTTTTTTTTTTTAAATTGGGAAAAAACACAAGAAAAACCAAAAGCAAAACATCTTTTTACCTCCTCCTACATTTCTGAAAGGTAGTCTGTACTGGGGTGATAAAGTCAGACAATTTTTGAATGTGGTTCCAACACTGCCAGGCTAACTAGCCATCTGATAGCCAAGTAGCTTTGCTGCTCCTGCTGCTTCTCCCAGATTTTTGGTTTAGTGATACAAGCAGCAAAGATGCTGTGACAAAAGCTTCGCTTCCCTTCCCACCAGACTGTATAACTGCAAACCCCAAAATTAAATGAAGCAGTTCTTTTCTTAAGGCTTTGAATACTGAGCAGCATCAAATAAAGGACAAGGTTAATTAGTCCCAGTAAACTAAAATCTTGTGTTGACCTATATATATGCTTAGTTTTATCCTGTTCCATACTTAAAACTGAAGTTCAGATATGAAGGGATGGAGAGGCAACATCGATTTTGCTTCAGAAACAATGCAGACCAACTGGATTATTTCTTGCCAAGACTGAACAAACACCCAATGTATTGGCTTGTGTTCATTGTATCATCCAGCTACAATAATATCCCCACACTTAGCTTACAACTGATACAGGTCAATAAACATGTTGTGTGTATGTTCCCAGAGTCCATATATTTTCCCTGGGTATAGAAAAACCATTGTCCCACAAACCACCTCCAAATGGAAAGTGAGGAAAGGACAGCGAGAACACTGTTCAAAAACTTGGTATGATTTCCAAATACAAACTCATGGAAAGCAATACAGTTGATGCTGGACTTTAAAAATGCAAAAACATGGCATTCATATTTGGGTTCTTTAGTGTTCTCCTACTTTCTTCCTGCTATTTGCACCTGAAACTATGTTGTGGCCTTTGCTTTTCGAATAAACATTGTCTGGAGTACATGTACATGTCTTCCAGGTGTGTACAAAATTCCACACATTTCTCTGGGAAAATGGGGTGACTTCCCCAAAATGTGTACAGCAGTGTTTAAATCTTTATGCACATAGTATCATTATTACTTCAATATTTCAAGTATTTTGTTACTGGAAACACCGGTGCCATCTCACTGTTTCCTGCAAAATTGTATTATGTAGCCTTGTCATCAGCATCTGGACTTGTTAACTGCATAGTGAAGATGATGTCTGAGACATTTTATTAATGAAATTGCCTCTGTTTTCTTCAAATTATTCCTTCAGAGAGACCATGCAGTCTTTTCAAAGTCCTTTTTCTAACTGCTGAGTGGTAAAACAAAATTTTACGTCTTTATGCTGTAGAGCAAATGAAGAAGTGGGAGAACATTAAAAGTGAAGTGAAAGTGTCTGATTTACATATTTACTCTATTTAAAAAGCTTACATGGAGAGAAAATCCAAATACAATTGCAATGTCAAGATGTTCTTTACCATGATTGTTAAAAAAATATTAGATTTTATGTAGAGCAAGGGATACAGACTTTCAGGGGAAGGCTGCCTTGGTTTTTGAGTGGAACCCTAGGGGCCACATTCCAAAAAGGGTCTGAGACAAGGAAAATAAATGAATATATTACGAATGTAATATAAAACTACTTAAATGGCTAGATTTACTCCCTTAGTACTTTTATTAAATTCATTTTAGTTCAATATAAACTACCCAATTTCACAATTAACTACGAAGTATGAACATTGATTCTAAAGTACAGAAATTCTTGTTGCGTACAAAATTCTTTTTACATAATCACTGATGCATGCATTTATATGTACAATCACATATGCATCCTGAGCAAAAGGAGTTTCTCATACTGCCTGGCAAACTGCTTATAGATCTCTGTTTTCTCATAGTGGAACGCTGGGGTTTGCAATTAGAATAATTTCAACTGGAAACTAAGGGGAATGGGAATCTTAACCAGATTTCTTGCCCAATAATCCAGGCCTCTGATGGAATATGAATTTACAAGGGCTGATAAAGCTGAAATTGCCCTTTGTTAGGCTGAAGTAGATGCCAGAAGCCTTTATACTGGTGGCTGTTCTGTTTCCAAAGTCAAATCAGAAAGAAGGAAGTGAGATGGATGAGGACAGGTATGAGTGACTAAAAGAAACCATAGCCTTCTCACTGACCCTGTCTTCTCATTTTTCCTGGCCATTACCTATCTACTTATTAGGAGAAACAGGAAAACACATCCAAGGCAAGCACTCCCCCCCCCCCCCCCAA